TACATGTTTGTTTGTTTATTTGTTTAAGAAATGCATGGAATTCATTGTGTGTAAAGATCCGTATTTAGCATTTTCTTCATTCATATGCTATTAATAACAATAGCAAAATGCTGAAGAGCGTTTCAAATAATATACCAAGAATTTTTCTGTAATATAAGAAGCTGAATGATTAGGAATGTGATAAAGGGGACTGTTGCTTTTGAATTTGAACTAGACTAGATAGACAGACAGGTTGACAATAGACAAGTTGGTGGATAGGATAGATGGATAGATGGGCAAGTGGATGAATGGACAGAGAGAGGCTTTGTCTAGTGTCTGTATAGAGTTTGAATTCATAGTTATTTAGAATGTAGTGACTCCATCAAGAATATCCAGGTTCTTTTTAAATGATAGACTAGGATGGAGATTTTTAAAAAATATGTACATGAATTTATTATGAGATATTCATTACTGATTTGGGATAATTTTTAAATATTTTCAGAGTGAAAGAGCATAAATTAGGTAACTAAAAGCTAGTAGTGGTTTGAGACAGAGTAGTGAGATGCTGATGAAAGGCCTACAACCTTAGAGACAGAGGATGCTCAAAATTGGACATTAGAGTAAGTGTAGGACCAACTGTGCAGAACCAAAGAAATGCTTAATTGAGATCTCCAACCCTTCTTGGTTGGGATGGCATTTGGAAAAACGAATTTATTCCACAAAAAGGTTCTGACTCTGAAACTCATAAAAAATTTTGTTTGTTCCAGATTCATGAAAAGTCATGTTGATCTGTTTGCTGCTTTATTCTCAAGGCCTAGAAGAATGCATGATGCATAGTAAATGCTCAACAAACATTAGATGAGTGAATGAATGAACGAAAGTAGAGAGAAGTTAAGAATTCTGAAGACAGGTTGATTATTGGTAGAATACAAATGTGTAAATTCATTGGTCTGGCAGTTATGGGCTGGATGAAAACAAAGATCAAGAAACTTGAACCATGTTTAAGCACTGGCATGCTACCCTATCTTAGTGACTTAAAAACATTGTGAAAGGACTCTAAAAATCTCAAAATACATGCACACTCTCTCACATTCATGTGAATCATTATAAATACATATTAAATGTAAATTAATATTAAATCCCAGGAGAATGGGATCAAAACCKAATTTGTAGGTAAATATTAACTACTGCAATTTTATAGTAAAAACAGGAAAAAAACACAAAATGGAATAGTCATGTGGCTATTACTTGCTGACACATCAGTATTTAACTTGAGTTTCTCTAGAAAATTGGGTTTTCTTTTACATAAAAGACTACATTAATGGGAATAGTATAAATTTACCCACAATCACACACATACACTGTCATCTATAGGCTAAAGATGTGCTCTTTTTACCATGACCTTTACATGCCCTTCCAGAGAAAATGTGTTTGGGGGAGAAACAGATGATTTCTGTGATCTCAAGTTCTACATGACTGAGTTTAAGGCAAAGATTGAAGCTGAACATGGAAACCAGAGCCAATGCATTGGAGCATATTTTTCTTTCAAAATATTTTATGTACTAAAGTTTGCACAACATCTTGGCAATGACAGTGAGTCTGCGAAGGAGGTGTTTTGTGTTTCACAGCTAACATAAGGGCAAAAAAATGTGATAGCAGCAAAATATTACTTTAATCATTAATTGAAAGAATGTATATAGAAGAGCACAAGGTAAGGTCCATGGACTAGAAGCCACAATTAAAAATCTACAAAACTCCAAAAAGAGCATATATCTCTTATTCTTTCCTTCATACCAGTGAACCTTCACCTCATCACTAGTTTTAAATTTAGAGAACCCTTGGACTCTAGGGAAAGGAGTCCTAGAATATCTTTTAGGATTGTGAAGGAGTGAAACTAAATTTAGCACAGTCCATCTGTTTAATTAGAGAAAGACACATAGCTACATTTTCTTGGCACATGTGAAAATCTTTTTAAAATCTTAGAGAAGGGTGGTTTCCTGATCTTTCCAGAAATCATTTTGAAGTTCACCAATTTTGCCATTGAAAACTCTGTCCACCTCTTTTCCTTCTCATGGTTTTATTTTTATTTCTAAATACTTTTTTTAAACTCTAGAAAATAGAAAACTTCCTAGCACATAATTGACATTCAGCAAATTTGTCAAAAATTCATTGATGGGTGCATGAGAAACTAGACTAGGTATTAGGTGATCTGGGTCTTAATCCGAAGGTACTAGTAGGTTTCATACTACCCAGTGAAAATTATTAGGCATCACTTCTTACTATCACAACTTTGGGTGAATATATATGTATGGTGTGTGGCATATCTTATCTTGCTACATAATTTGTAAGCTATGGATCTTAACTCTAATTACTTACATAGACTGGAGACATAATACAAATGAAGGAGATAGCTGGCTATAATAAATATGAAGTAGAGGAGACTATGGCCAACTAGAGAGCAGAAGGGCCAACCTGTGTTTAAAACATCTGGGGACTCATCAGATCACATCTGCAGTTCAAATATACCTTATAGTATAAATATAAGCTCTTTCACAAGGACAATGGTCTCTAAAGCATTCTGTAATATAAAAAAATACAAAAACATGTAAATAATCAAATTATTGATAATTGATAAGGAGAATTTATTTAAGATCATGTGTTATTAAGTTTTATGTTCCTGACGCTCTTCTAAATTTTACCTGATTTATTTTATGTCATTAATGTAATTACCTTCATTTCACAGTACTTGGTAAATGTATATTGGTTGCTGTATGAAAAAATAATTAGATGTTTAAAAAGAGGCCAATATAACAAAGAACATAGTGTTGGAGTCCTGAGCAGTCCTATAACATAGGTAAAAGAAGCTCTCCCCCAAAGACAGCCCATTTTTTAACATCTCCATGTAGGAGAATGAAGGTAATTCCCTGACTCCATCAGTGGCTCATAATCATAACCAGCAACTGAATGGAGAGCTCTCCATTTCTAATAAAGCTGACACAGAACAGCTTTCAGCAGTCTGCAAGACCTGTGTCCTTTGCTTCACAAGGAAAAATCAAACAAAAACAGATTATAGCTCCTTTGTGTTGAGTAACATTAACAGTTATGAACAGTTATCATTACTGAGTACTTTCTGTGTGCTAGGCATTGGATTATCAACCCTAATTCTTCCAGGAACCCCAAGGAGTTAGTACCATTACTGTTCTTATTTTACAGTTAAGGAAATGCAAGCTTACAGAGGTGAATTAACTTCTACTAGACCACACAACTAATAAATGCCACAACCAAGGAGGCCCAGTCTCCAGAGSTCATGCTTTTGTCCATTGTATGGCTGTTCAAAGAAGTCTGAAAAATCCTTTAAATTTCCCTACCAATGTTTGTCAGCCATTTTTTTTTAAACATGAAATACTCTTTTCAAAGTCTTGTGTAAAACTCCAAATGAAGTCACAGAAAAGAGCAGATTTCTATTCTGGTTGAAATAGAGTGTGGAGGGCCAACCTCTGCCTCRTATATATTCCCTATCAGCTTGATTTCTTCTACCACCAATCTTTATACTTCTCTGACTTGCCTCTTTCTCCCAATCACAGGCTCTGCTTCCCTTCCTTGGTCTGCATGGACTCAAAGGCTCTACCCTCAATCCTCCATGTATTTCCCCTTCTACTTGCTCTCCAAGACATTCAATTCAAAGATCTTCCTCTACTACCATTCTGTTAGTGATTCTCAAGTGCTGTCTTCATGTCCATATTCCTAGTGGTCTGTAGACACACAAAATCTTTTCCAAGGGCCATGGTGGATTTAACACTGAAAGAACTGACTGGTTATGGGGATATAAATGTATTAGAGGCTGACTCCTTCAGAGCCCCAGAAGATGTCCTCCAGAGATGGCTTTGATTATTTTGAACAAACTGGTGAGGAGGATCTCCCCACCCTGTTCCTGCTGTTCGATTTTTCTTCCCAACACACTCCCTTCCATTCTTGAACGTAAGGGTACTCAGCCCTGAGGAAAGAACAGATTGGTTGGTGCAGGCAAGCCAGGGCATCTGCATTATAACCTGATTCTCAAATGGTTACATCAAAGTCTGGGGATCTTTGTGTTTATATAATCTAAAGTGTGCTTCCATAATTTCTCATCTTTATATACATAAGTGTATTATCCCTTACTTAGGTGATAAATTCTCAAAGGTCAGAACTATGTTTTCTAGTCTTTTTTACCCAGTAGCTCAATCCTAAACACATCATTGGGAATTCATGAGAATACTTGACGGGGTTTGGCTTTCTGCCCTGTCGAGTCCTGAGCTGTCAGTGCCTACGCACTGGAAAATTCTTCAAATTAGAATGGCAATTCACCAATATCCATCTTATTTGATATGCAATGTGAGTTTTTAATCAATATTTTTTTATCCAGGTGTTCTACTGGATAATGCTCTGAGATTCCTGAGTTATTGATGAGGGAGTGAAATTAACAAGTGTCTTAGAAGTGAAATCTTTCCAGGTTTCAAAGTGTTTGAAAAACAGAAGTTCATAGGCCTTCCTGCCCTCGTGTCATAGAAAGCTGGGCAAGGAAGAATGCCATCTGTCCAAAATGGTCATTAAATTGTTAAATACGCGACTTGGAACATCATTTTGATCTCTGGGTCAGCAATAATACATGCTAACTCTAGGGAAAAGGACATACTTTTTACTCTATGGTGTTTGCTCCTGAGAAATTGAAAGGCTTGCCATATGTTTTATAGTACTTTTTTTTTCCTTTGAGGTTCTACAAACACTTTCTGGAATGTGGAGGCTGCACCATCAGAGTCACATGGGAGCTGATCCAGGGTCCTGATGTCATTAACCTACCTGCTTTGGTTGTTGTGATATGCAGTTATGTCTACATTTCAAAAGAAATTCTCTGATCTCCAACCCATTAAGCATGGTCAATCTTTAACAGGATGAAAAATGTTTGGAATCTAAGCTTGTGATCTTTGTGCTACATTTTTCTTCTTTTAATTCATGGTAGCTTCCCCCTCCTTTCCCTTCTTTAGGATCAACATTCTGTGGTAGGCCAGAACACAGGCCCAAGTCCAAGTTCCAACCCCTGCTCAAATCCAAACACTGGAAGTGGTTACATGAACTCCCAGCAGTCACTGTTGAATCAGCAATTGATGGGAAAGAAACAGACTCTACAGAGGCAGATCATGGAGCAGAAACAGCAGCTTCTTCTCCAGCAGCAGATGCTGGTTGATGCGGTAAAAATTTTTTGCTAACTTCTAACGCACATTCTTGTTGGTTCCATTTCTATTTGTTGCCCTTTTCTCTGTGCCGACTTCTGTAACAGTGACAGGGTGTCCTGGCTGTAAAGGAGGCTAACTATATATGTTTAAAGCATTGCAGGAAAAAAAAAAAAAAACAAAACTTGACTTTCCAGCTGCTGGACACTTGGAATGCACAGCACCTTGGCTCACTCGCCCTGCCCGGCACAGGAATGCCTAGAATGACTAACATGGGCATTTGAATCAAGCAAAAGAAACCACTGTTGTTCCCCAGCCCCAAGGGGCAGAAATAGTGAATAGAATTTTAATGAACTCATATCCAAACTGATTTTAGAGATAAATGAGTTTTAAAAGCAGTTTAAAAATTCAACATGAAGTTTCAAAACTAAGATCTGGCTTTTAAAACACAGAATCTCAGAATGGAAGATGATTTTTAAGAAAATTAAAAGTATATTTCCTATTTTTGCCCCATTTATATGACCTTTTAAGAAAGGCAAAGTTGTGTTTCTCAAACACTACCTAAACATAAATCCAACTTCAATATTTATCTGTTTATCCCTCTGTATCCTCAGATGTAAATATAAAATATCTGATCTGATCCCTTCCTCCCTGTCAAAAACACAGCCCCATCTATAACAGTTTTCATTCTTTGCCTTCAAACTATTTGACCAAATGAAATAAAAAAGGGACAAAGTTATACATCTCCAGAATAAAAGAATTAAGATAGAAAGAAAAGAGAAAAATAAGGGATGGAGATATAACTCAGCAGTAGAGTACTTACTTAGAGTATGTGAGGCCATGAATTCAATCCCCAGCACAGCAAAAAAAGAAAAGCGAAAAAAATTGCATCCAATAACTTTATATTCAAGGAGCTTTGTAGTAAGAATCAGAAATGCAGAGTGTTGTAAACACCATAATTATTCAGTAAATATTTATTTAAGTGAAAAAACAACAATAAAGAAGAAAGACCCTTTCTGCTCCCAGAAAAGTATATAGCCCACTGGGATGTCAAATAAATAGGCCATTGGAATCCAGGGATCAAATCCTATGCAGTAAAAACTACTAGAAATGGTTTCTGAGAGGAAGTTATATCTACTGAAGGTCTGAAGGTACAGTGGGAGAAGGGAGGAAGACTAGGGAGTTGTGCCAGCCCAAAGAAACAGCATATTCAAAGATCCAGAGACAATAAAGGACAATGCCTAATACATTATATAAAAGGTGCACAAGGTAGGGAAGTGATGGGTAAGAAAGCCAGAGGACAGAGCTTGATAAGCCAGAATTTACATTGTCTGAAAAATAATGGAGAGGATTTTACGGACTTTAAACAAGAAGTACTATATTCAGATTTGCATTATAGCTAAGGTATAGACGTAGTAAGAGAAAATGTAATGGAGATAAAGATTAAATTCAGCCTAGGAAAATTGAAGATAATCTCCCAGAGAAGATAAATTTGGACTTTGACTTAGAAAGACTATAGCATTCTGCCAGAGAGAGTAGGTAGGGTCTCCCATGCCACGCCGAGGGTGGAGCAAGGAAGAAAAGGTAGAGCCTGGTTATATATTTGTTGTTAGTTTAAAACTTCATTATGAAAGATGTAATGTATAAAGAAAAGTATAAATAATAATATTACGATCACATAAGTTTTTTAAAAATGATAAATGGAATAAGTTGGAAGTCCAGAACATATCAGAAGAAATAATGAGAAATAAATTTATTTGATGATGAATAAGGAGTAGTAAGAAATAAATTTACAGATGACCTTGAGTCCTACCCTGATGTATAAGATATAGGAGAGCCACTGCCTGGATCACAAAGTGATTCCATTGGTTTTTTTCCTACAAATTCTAGTTTTGAAAACTTCGGTCTTCTTCGGTCTTCCCATCTGTTTTCTTCCCTTCCTCCTTTTCTTTTATCCTTATAAACTAAAGAGCTTAGAAACAAAAAGCAGGAGAGAAAAGAAAATATTYCATCTAAAATTGAGTTCATTGCAACATAGGTATTTTATTATTATTATTATTATTTATTTTTATTATTCCCATCAATACTACTAATCTGATGACATGCAGTGGTTGGATTTCTGGATTTTCATCTCTGACTCAAAGACAAGAAAGTGTGGCATACACATTTCATGAGGATCTAGTCTGGCCCTGGCCTCTCACCAAGCCCCTGTTGAGTCACACTGGGACAGGTGCAAAGGGCAGTGGCATAAGCTGTGGGAGATGCATGAGAATGAGGCTGCACTTTTTGTGATTTTTATAAACCATTCACTTTCCCTTTGTTTGAACACCATTGAGGGTGCCTATGCTTTTTAGCATATCCAGGAAGAAACAGTCTTTGATACCACTTTACATTAGCATATGCTTTGTAGTCCTTTGCAGTCAGTTGGCAAGACCAGATAGACACCTAAATTGAGACATTTTCTCATGAAAGTCTGTTACTCTCTATTCTCCCACCAATGAAGCACAAAGAAATGAGCAATTCCTGTTGCAATGAACATCATCATTACTGACACGTATTGTACACCTACTGTGTGCCAGATACCGTGCTGAGTTTTTACAGAATTAAAGGATTATCCTTAAAATAGGAATAAGAGGAAGGTCCTATAATTATACAGATCTCACCTTTTTACAGATGAGGAGACTAAAGCAAGACAGATATGTACATGTATGAATGATTTATATCTTAGGGTTTGGGATAAAAGAAAGTGGCTTGTCCTGAGAAATTAACTGATAAACTAAATTTCATATTACACGGTAGTAACTTCAGGGATGGCCTGTGAGTTTACATTTGCGTAGGATGGGAATGTCATTCTCTTGTAAAATGTAGCTATCTCCATTCAGCATTAGAATCTAGGCTTCATTACCCTTGCGCCCAAAGCAAAGGCATGGCAATTCTAGGTAATATCTGTGCACAAGGCCATTAGGTCTACCTTATTTGTGGGAAGGTAGTTTAAGGAACTCAAGTTTCAGAGAGGTGTATGTTAACCCTTTGAACAACAACAATTGAGCCCTGGGAGTAAAAGAAAGATTTTGGGGAACACATCAAAAATAAAACTAAATCCAGGTTGAAACCTAGTCTACTGTGGAAAATCAAGGGCCTAATTCCCTCTCTCTCTCACACACACACACACATGCACACACGTATGCACATATGTCCTCTCATCCTTAGTAGAAACACCTAAGTCTGTAAGAAAGATGTTTTTTGGAAAGGAGAAAAATTCAGAAAGTCCTATGCTTGGCTTAAAATTCAAAACTGTCAGTTTACACAATAGTTTACAACAAGGATCCTTGCACATTGCCACATTTGGGTTCATAGAACATCTCAAGCTGTTTTTTTTTTTTTAAAAAAAACATTTAGATTTTGGGCAAAACCAGAAAAGAGTTTCACCAACCACTTTTCCCCTTAATTTGTAAACCCGTGCTTAAATAAAATGTAATCCATATGTTTCTGATTCATTTACACTTAGCTCATCAGATTTGTGTTTTATATGAGTTACTTGATGTCCAAAAAATACTGTCTTTCAAGTTTCCTTCTTAGAAACAAGAAATGATTTGTTGTTGTCTTAAGGCCCTTTCCCTCACTTTATAGTAGATGTTTTCTACTCAGAAGGTTTGGGATTTGATGGGAAACTGAGAAGCCCATGGTTGAAGTGAGTTCTAATTAGGCAGAGCACATTTGGCTTCCAGTTAATTGACTCATCTATTACAAGGGTTGTTTTTTTTTCCTATTTATTAACTTTTCTGTAATTGTAGTGTTCTGTTCTACCTATGCCAATTATTTTTATCTTTGAACATGGAGGTTGCTTTGGAGTATATACAAAATCTGTGAAGCAATTCCAAAAGTTTCCTGATCCATGCTAAGAAAGAAAAAAAGCAGCCCTTGAGTTCCAGAACTGAAATGATATTCAGAGCCAAGTTATTTTGTTCTCTGTTGAACATAAACAAGCTTACAAAATATCAACCTCAGACAGTTACTCTGATACCATGATAAAGTGAGACAAAATAAGGCTACTTCATAATTTTGTCCAAAAACAAACACAAACAAGGTCATTGTGTGACCCACAAAATGCCACACATCTGCCTCCTTTGCTAAATAGATAAATACTTCTTTACTCAGTCATACAGTCAATGTCATTTTCTGACAGCTTTCAATCCAGAAAAAAATTTTTCCTCTTACTTAGACCCTCCCTAAATCACCCAAAGTCCAAATCGTGTGGTGGGCTCTTTCCAACATGTGCTCCTACTGAGCTACCCCTGTGGTTCTCCAGGATATATGTTCTCCCTTGCTGGAATGAGGTAACAAACCCAATAGATTTATTCCTGGTTGTCTTTGACTGAAGGCACTGACAATCTAAAAAAGTCAAGTAATATTTATATCTCTTTATCTCTTATGTTAGTCAGCTTTGACAAAGCTGTCACCAAATACCTGTTGAGAACACTTAAAGGAGGTTCCAGAGGTTTAGTTGATAGTCGGCTGAGTCCATTGCTCTAGGGCCAAGGTGAGGCAGAACTTTTTTGCAGAAGGGTGTGGCAAAGTAGTGCTTCTCACTTCAAGGCAGCCAGGAAATGGAGGGAGTGCAGCTACAGGGAAAGTGAACCCTTCTATGACACCTCCCTAGTGACCCATCTCACCTAGTGACCCACCTACACCCATGACCCAATTGCCTACAGTTACCACTGGGTCAGTCCTTTCAAACTAGGATGGATTGATTAGGTTAGAGCTCCCATTGCCATTTTACCACCCAATATTGGTGCATTAACAAAGGAGCTTTGGGGGGACACCTCAATGCAAACCATAACATGTCCCAAACTCACCTATTCTGAAGATCAAGAATAGAAGGGAGTTTGACAAAATTCTATGCTATTAGAATGGAGCACTGATAACCAGAATATCAAGGAATTCTTGTATTTTTATATGGTAGGAAAAAGTCTCAAGTTTTGGACTCAGGATTTGGTCTCTCTTGTATACTATGTGACTATGAGCAAGTTACTTAGTCTAACAAAGCTTCCATTTTATTTCTCTCTTTTTTTTTAGCGAGAATAATCATGCCTACCTTGGAAGATTAATTATGAGGGGTCAAAAGAGGGTATATAGTGCCTAATATCTCTTCCTCTTTKGGGTTACCAGATTTGACAGATAAAAATACAGAATTCCATGGTGTTCAGTATTTTATCTGGCAATGGTACTCTTAGGTTTTCCAAACTTGTGGCACCTGAGTCATACATAGATATAAAAATATATCAGGCATGCTACGACATAAAACTAGAAATGTTGTCTCAAAACTCACTGAACTTTAGTTATTATTGAAAACTAATTGCAAAATAAAGGAAATGAGAATAGTTACTACACCCAAAACACATGTTGTATGTTATGGAGAAAAAATGACATTTCCATGCAGAAAGTTTATTGAAATTGAAAAGATTTGTCTCTGAATTAGCACTACTAAATAAGGCCATACTTTATAACTTTTGACTACCAAATTTTTCCTGTATTCTTACTTTTTTCAATAGCACATAGATTTCAAAAGTGAAAAAGTAATGATACAAATTAACATGTTTTCTTTTTGTGTTTTCAAGGAGAAAATGGCTCCACAAGATCAGATAAACCGACATTTGACAAGGCCACCCCCAGATTACAAAGACCAAAGAAGAAATGTTGGCAATCTGCAACCAGCTGCTCAGTATTCTGGTAAGTATTTTTTAAAAATAGTAAAAATCATAACTGAGAAAAGAAGAAAACTGTTCAGTTTTGTTGTGACGAACAAAGGTGCAAYTTACGCACTCGAGAGGGAGAAATAAAAAATGTCCACATGCTTCTGCCCTTTTCAATGCTTTATTCACTCAAATCACTCAATACAATTCCACTCTATAGGTACTTTTTAAAAAATATTTTTAGTCATAGTTGGACATAATACCTTTATTTTATTTGTTTATTTTTATGTGGTGCTGAGGATTGAACCCAGCTCGTCACATATGCTAGGTGAGCGCTCTACCACTGAGCCACAGCCCCAGACCCTCTATAGGTTCTTAATCAAGAAAATGACTATCCTTAATGCTGGGCACTGCAATAGACATAATTCAAAGCAAACAATTCTAAGTTAACTCTAAGCACTGCAAATATCCTTAATTATGACAGACCTATTACAGACATTCCCTCTGCATGCTAAGCTCAAGTGCCAGATCTAAAGTCTCAAGTCTTAGACCTTAAGTCCAGCAGATGCACACTCACTCAGACCATAGTGATCAGGTCAGGAAGCGATGGAGACTTGCCGGCTGAGGAGAGGGTCCTAAGAAGAAGTTGCTGTTCTCACCAAGKTCAAGATGTGGCTGTAGAGTTTGAGAGTGATAAGGATGATGCAGAGTTGGGATGTTAGTCTAGGTCCTCATCAGGCTCTCTGGCATGTGGGCATCAGTGTCAGCTGGTTGATTCATTTGCTCCATCATTTAAGCTAAATGTTGAGGTTACTACTCGTCCTTTCAATCCCTATCAGCTGTTACCAGGTCTCTCAGTGATGTCTTTCATTCTGGGGTCAGGACATCTGGTCTGCTGGTTTCCACCCTGATCTCTCGCCTCTGCCTTTATCAGGGTGAAGGCAAATGACAATGACTTAACTCTGAGTTTTATCAAGGTTGTGGAAAGTACTTATTTTATCAAGCTATGCCGGAGGACAGTATTGGAGGGCTTCATAGGCTTGGGTAGTGGAGACTGCAGTTTTGTTTTAAAATGTAGTTACTTAGGCTAAGGCCTTCTTAGTTTAGGCCTTCTTTAYAAGTTTTCACTATCTCCTCCTTTCCCTGCTATCTATAAGAGAAAGCCACTCTATTTTAGTGCTCTTTCTATAATGTGTAAACTCTGAACTAAGGAGTGACTCAAGGTGATGCTTCTCCTCAAAGCTGTCTTATTCTTTTTACATAATATGTTTAATGATTATTTATCTTAAATTGTTCTTGTATCTAAAATCAGTTTCAGAGGTGGTAAGGTCTTGCAAATTGCTTATAAAGAAGGAGATAATATCCCCGATATGAATGGATCTAATTCTCTTCTCTTTCTTAGGTGGCTCATCGACGGTGAGTTTGAACTCTAACCAGGCTTTGACAAACCCAGTTTCGACACACACAATTTTAACTCCCAATTCCAGCCTCATGTCTACTGCTCATGGAACAAGAATGCCATCATTATCCACAGCAGTTCAGAACATTGGGATGTATGGAAATCTGCCTTGTAATCAGCCTGGCACATATAGTGTCCCTTCAGGAATGAATCAAATGACCCAACAGAGAAATCCAAATCAACTTATAGCCAATCAAAACAACCCTCTGATGTCACGGTCATCTACCTTAGGGCCAAATAACAATAGCAATGTGGCCACTTTTGGAGCTGGATCTGTTAGCAATTCACAACAACTGAGACCAAATTTAACCCACAATACGGCAAGCATGCCAACCCAGAGAACATCCAATGTAATGATCACATCCAACACAACAGCACCAAACTGGGCCTCTCAAGAAGCAACAACCAAACAGCAGGAAGCTCTGAAGTCCACAGGAGTCCGCTTCCCTACAGGAACGCCTGCCACCTACACTCCAAACCAGTCACTGCAGCAGGCAGTGGGCAGCCAGCAATTCTCCCAGAGGGCAGTGGCTCCTCCTAACCAATTAACACCAGCTGTGCAAATGAGACCCATGAACCAAATGAACCAAGCATTAAATGGACAAACCATGGGTCCACTCAGGGGTCTGAATCTCAGACCCAATCAGCTAAGCACACAGATTTTGTCTAATTTGAACCAGTCAGGGACAGGGTTGAATCAGTCAAGGACAGGTATAAACCAGCCACCATCCCTGACACCCAACACTTTTCCTTCATCCAACCAAAGTTCCAGGGCTTTTCAAGGAACTGACCATGGCAGTGACTTAGCTTTTGACTTCCTCGGCCCACAGACTGATAACATGGGTCCTGCCCTCAACAGTGATGCTGATTTCATTGATTCGTTATTGAAGACAGAGCCTGGCAATGATGACTGGATGAAAGACATCAATCTTGATGAAATCTTGGGGAACAACTCCTGAAGGAGAAAGGGCAGACAGTTCACAAACTCGAAGCACTAACGGCAGAATTTTACAAGGACGCTGTAAAGGCCAAACTTTTGACTTCCACATGGATTACATGAAGATACTGTGGCTTAAAAACAGAGACTAACTGTAGTGAACATATTGGTCCAAATTATTTTTTAAAATCTGAAACCTGAAAGTAAAACATTGGGATCTCTTTTCCCCATCTGAACTCCAGGACATATTTTCCAATTTATCCAAACAGAACTGTGATATTAATGTGTAATTAATTGTGTAAAATAGACCTCCCAAGCTCTTTTTCTCCCTGAATGAAAAGTAATAGAATTTATAGCTTGTTTCAACCCTGTGTCACGGGGAGGTACTAGTTCCAAGCAACAAGCAGCAGATTCCTTAATTTACTCTCATAGATATGTGTGGTTTAATTTTCCACTATCTTTTCATTTAATTTTCCTAAAGCTTGCAGGATAGATTGAAATGTTATAGATTTGTTTGGAGTAACTGAACGGTGTTCTAGGTGAGGGAAAGCCAGAATCTAGAAAACATCCAGCTGATGATAGAATTTCTTCCCTAGATTTGGTCCTCATTTTTGCAATTGTCCCACATATTCTATACTTCAGTGGGATGTTGTATCTAGTAATGAAATAAGAATGAAGGGCTGCATAACTCGATGTTGGCTTCCACAACCATCTGAATCCATTCCCTACCAAGTTTTAGATATAAATAAGACTTGTCCTAATCATACTGAAATACTGGTGCACACCTGTCTGTATCAGATTTCATTTTTTAAAAAAACCGACACTGGACCTTGCCATAAGGAGATTTATTTGGCCAGAAGTAGCCTGAGGTATTATTTATTATGATTGATTCTCACTGGTTTGTTCCCGAGGTGAGTGAAATTGAGCCTGTCTTCCATACTAATTTTGATGACTAGAGAATGGTTTGTAAGAAAAGGAAGTTGGAAATAAAAACTAAGATAAGAAAGTATTGAGTTTTAATTGGAGGTAAAAGAAACAGTAGTAGCAGGTAGGAGTGGGTACAAATCTACTTCATAGAGTTTAGAGGAAAGCATAATTGGAAGAGAAAACATTATTTTAATTGGGGTGAATAGCTAAATAAGATGTAGTATGTTAGTTGTGGCCTATTCATTCTTCTGTCCCCGATGTGATAATTCCTTGCCACATGCTATGGGCCCTTCATATCTAAGTTTTATCCCACAGGGCTGAGTACTATATCAAACAAAGTTTTTATTGAGTAATTTGATCTCAGTACCCATATACAGATGAGCTAAAAGTGGGGAAGATGTGCAGATTTGGGAAGGATGCAAAATATACTAATTACAGAGGAGCAAAGGTTATTGTCAGCATTTTAGTTATACATTCATATTTAAGTATCAAATGTACTTTAATTGAAGTCATTTAAAAACCAAGTCTTTAAATATCTGTTCAAAAAAGAAGACACTTTTTAAAAATGAGTCCTGCCATATTGCCCAGGCTGGCCTTGAACTTGCGATCCTCCTGCCTCATTCTCCCAAGTAGCTGGGATTACGGGTGTGCACCACCATGATGGCATTGAAAGAACACATTTTGAAAGTTCTGCAAAGCCCTCTCCCAGTCTTTAAAAACGTCTAGAGGCACCCTCCTTCCTTTATAGAATACCAACATCACTGGCTCAGATTTTCTGTGCTAATTTGTAAATATAAATAAATGATTTGTTTTGTAAACTTTTGTAAAGAATATTTTGGTAGAAATACTTAAAACATATACTTTGGGTTATATTTATACATATGTGAAATAAATATACTATCAAAAGGTTATATTTTATACAAAAAGTAAATTGTTACCTTTTGTATGCTAATATACAAAGTTTTGTACAATAATATGGTTTATTTTTAGCTCTACACTTAAACCATAGGTGGTCAAGTGGGAACCTTTGAAAATTATCAAGAGGCTTGTTAGACAAACATATATTCTGAAACCTTAATAAGAAAGCATTCCAGGTTTCAATTCTTTCCTTTTTTTCTGCTCTCAAATTCTTTATTAAACCCATAGTTCTTCCGTCTCATTTTATTACTCTACTGTGTACATTGTATTTGTCCTTGTTGCATGTGGTCTACTGTGTGTTTTCTCATTTTATAAAACAGTGTTTCTCCATGCAAAAAGAAAGGAAAAATAATGTACATATGAACGCTTTTATTTCATTGCTCCTCCATGTTTCTGTATATATCTGCCAGCACTTCCCAGTTACACTCTGTGATTCAGTTTATTTTTACCCTAACATAAATAGTATGTTTTGTAGTAGCTATCAAATTTAAGAGATAAAGCAATCAGAATGTTTGGATTTTCTTCTATCTTAATGTGAATTTCATAATTAATGTCTATTTATTCAGCTATTCATTAAAATACAGGATTCTTTGGAACAAATGGTGTAATCTATAGTTTCTGTTTGTTGGCAGCCTATTACCAAAGATGACGCAATTTTCCTGAAAGCTGAGATAATGACAATTTGATAGACATATTTAGTGAGAACCTTAGGATTTACAACTTAAGAGCTGTTGGAATACAATCTTCCATTTGTAGAAATACCAGACTACTTAATTGTTGGCATTGTTTATCATTTTGATATATTATACAAGCAGTAGAAGTAATTTTTCATCCTTTTTTCAAGTTCAAAGACTAGAAAGCAATTTAAGCAAATAATTCATTCTTGGTTTTGTGTTAAGCCCTGAAGATAAATAACTCCGCTCTAAGTGAATGCACTAATATTACCTACATTACTGTAACTTAACCCATAACTGTAAAGATTTCTACTTGTAAAGTAAATATTTGTATTGTATGCAATTCCATGTGTAAAAAATAGTTTTAAAAAATTCAGAGGTGGTTTTCTTGTATGAAGTCATACTTTCCATTCACCAATGATATTGTTACTACATCCCAGAAAGTTCTGAGAACTATTAATAGTAATGGATACTTACAGTCAAATTTATTCTGTAGGAAGCTTTTAGTACTAGCTAAATGCTGAGTCATGTCATTTTAATGTTCTTTAATTCACTTAGAAAGTTTGTATTAAAATTTTATCTGCACAGCACCTATTAATTACTGCCTAATTCTCAGGCATTGTGGGGATTTGTCTGACTTGCTTTGTGGCATTTGGTCAGACTGGGCTGAGGGAACATAGGACCCCCAAACCACAGCCTGCCTGAGCACCTTTACTCAGCCCTTCTTGAGAAGCAAGGAGGCTGAGAGAAATCTGGGCCTCTCGGAAAAGAAGAACCTTTCTGCATTCTCTTGCCCCACTGTTGTATATGTTGGTAGGGTTCCATTGTCCCTTTCCCCTCTGCCAAAATATGTATGCAATTCTCTGTTTTACTAGCATTATTAATGGAATAATAATAAAATTGATATTTTATATACTCCTTGTCCCAAAGAACTTGAAAGATTGGATAGTAAACACATAAAGCCAACACCAACAAAGATAAGTATTATACACCATACATGAAGAGAAAGAAGTATGTAATTCCAAAATTATCTCTGAACCTCAATATGTAGCCAGGGAAAGAATTTGAGAAAGGTGATGGGAGAATAAATGTTAGTACAAAAGAGAGAACAGCTCAAACTCCTTCTATACTATGGTTGCTAAAGGCAGTTCAAATTTTTAATTATTTTATCCACAATTTCCATTTTTTATTTCCATAAGTGTTTTCTCATGGTTTTTTTTTTAAATCACTCCAAAAAAGGAGGTTTGGGGCTGAACTATCTACTTTCCTTTCCAACTCTAGAACTCTGTAATATTTTTTTTCCCAAAAATTAAGTTAAAAAGTTAACTGAAAAGACTCAACAACATCCTGTTTAAAAATTTAAAAAAAGGCATTAGACCCTCAATATTTCAAAAGCTTCCACTTTGTTGGTGAACTTTATTTAACAAAACTGCCATCTCCTTAAACCATAAATAAGATTTATAAGTGGTCAGAACTGGACTCCTAACAAGTAGAAAGTTAGTAATGCAGATGCCTGCTGCCTAACATCAAGCCCTGAAGATCACAAAGGGGATGTGACATTAAATGCTCATTTTCCTGTAAGATCACAGAATCTTATAAAGAAAATATTTGCCTACTGCGGAGGAGAAAACTATAACTTAAGTAGTCAATAAACTCTATTGGGCGTATGTGGATGAAATTTTGTGAGATGTAAATACCTATGTAACATCTTCTTAAGTTCCTCCATTAGGCAAAGTGCATATTCAGCCCTGGAATCTATTTCATTGGCAGTAAYAATATAACTAAAACCCTGTACTATGATAGTTGGGAAACACATTTTCTCTTAAATTTTTTAAACCAAATGCTGTTGTCCCTGATTATATTAATAGAAAGCTTTTGTTTATTTATATAAACAGCATTTTAAATTCCCTTTCACCAAATTTAAGTGCTCTTTAGCTCCAGCATGTGCATGAGTATACAGATGCTTTTTTAATTGTTAAGATACTTTTGGCAAAAGGAAAGAAGGATGGAAGGAAGGGAGGGATAAAGAAGAAGAATATGTAAATGACTACATACATATAGAGAAGCTTCTTATAGGGTTCTTTCAGCAAAAAGAGGGAAGGAGAAATAAAGAAAGGAAGGAAGGAAGGAAGGAAGGAAGGAAGGAAGGAAGGAAGGAAGGAAGGAAGGAAGGAAGGAATGAATCATATCCCAACCACCTGGACTGGCTAACACAACTTCTACTCATAGCAGCTGGTTCTGGGTTTAGGCATAGTTGACTCCAGCAGCCCAACAATATCATCACACCGTGGATCCTTATAATCTCTCATTGTTACTTCCCTATGTCTTGGCTCAGGCATGCATGTCCTCTCATGGTGGCAAAGTGGTTGCTAGAAGCTCCAAACCTATATCCTTACAATTCCAAGTCCAACATAAACATGCAAGAATGATTCCCTTTCAGAAGATCTAACTTTGCCTCTCACTGACTTTGACTAGTATGTGTCCCTTCAGTGAACATTCACATTGGTCAGTCCTGAGTCAATGCTTATCCCTGTAGGTAGTGGAAGTATTGATATTGACCAAATCATCTGGACTGAGGGTGGGAAAACATATGATTTCACAAAGAAAAAATAATTGCAATTATAAGAAACAATAGACATAAAATTAAATTTAAAAATGTCTTCTGGCTGCCCTATTTCCATATACACTGTTTTCCCCACAACTTTAATTTCAAAATCTGATAATCCACATGTATTCACCTCCTTCCCAGAAGCAATTCAAACCTTGTCTACTTATTGCATCATCCTATTCCATCACAACTAGATAAAGTAAACTATTTTCTGCCAGGCTAACATGGACCAGCAATCTTAGACAAAAAGATGTAAGCAATGAACACAGAGTTATGAATTTAGAGTGATACAACAGTAATAATGAGTTCTCTTTGGAAGAGAAACTAATGTGTTAGCTTGCTTTTTGTCACTATAACCAAAATAACCTGACAAGAACAACTTATAGGAGGAAAAGTTTCTTTTCATTCAAGTTTCAGAGCTTTAGTCCATGGTTGGCCAACTCCACTGCTTCTGGGCCCAAGACGAGGCAGAACATCATGGTGGAAGTGGGCATAGTGGAGGAGTATTGCTCTATTCACAGCAGCCAGGAAGCAGAAAGAGAGAGGGGAAGGAAGGGCATGGAACATGCACCCTTCAACAGGCACCCCCCTCCTCTAGTCATGTCCCATCTGCTACAGTTACCACCCAGTTAGTCCATTCAAACTAGGATGGACCAGTCAGGTTACAGTTCTCATGATCTAATCATTTCATCTCTGAATATTCTTTCATTAACAAAGGAGCTTTTGGGGGACATCTCATATTAAATTATAACAATATATACAGATCACATTCTTATTAACAAGAAGAGTAAAGAATTCTGCTTGAGCATTCAAATTAATGACTGGAGGAGAGTCATTAAAAACTCCTCTCTTTCCTCAGGATGCACACCACTACATTTTCTAGTGGAATCATTTTGTCCTTACTCAGGGAGGATATTATATTGCATGCTTAGAAGTAACCAGAGAATCAGACCTCTCATRTCCCAGTCAGATCTCCTACTGGATCCCATCTCTCTCGTTTAGTGTGCAATAACTTTAACTTAAAGCAGCAGATTAAACTTTTTAAAAAGAATAAGCTTATCAAGGAAACAAAACTAGTTTAAATATTCCAAAAGCCAAAGAGTCTTTAATGCAAGGAATTGGTTACACAGGTGATGGACAAATTGAAAAGTACAATGGGAGTCATTAAATCTTCCAGGATGAAAAGACAAACAGATAAGGGGTCAGGGTCACTAAGCAGATGCTACAATATTGGCTGATCTGTCTGGTAGGAGCTGGATCCAGTTCGAGATTCAGCTACTAATGGAGATGTCACTAATGCAGAGGGAAAAGAAGAAACACAATCTCCCCCACCAGCACCTAGTCATCTTCCACTCTCCAGTAAATGCATTTCATTTGCTGAACTCAGCTAGAATATAGTCTGGGGGAAGGTATTGTAAATCAGAGCAGAAAGGAGCTAAGGAATAACCTGCCAATAAACAGGATCATGTCTAGCATAGCAAACTTGCATATTACTGAACTCTCAGCTTTTTTGAATTGCAGACCTAGAGCAAAAGGCAGCTTTCTTAGCAAAGACTAATTTTTCTCCTTCTCTGTCTTCAGATACATTAATTTAATGTAATTTTCTCTGTTTATTATAGAATGGTATCAATTAGGAACCTATTTTGTTGCAAGTATATG